CCCCCCCCCCCCAACTGTCCCAAAGTTGAGTTTTCTTTGGGCATTAAAATATTCTTGTTCCCAAAATTGACATGGAGGAAACAAGGAAAATGTTTCAACAATTGTGATAAGGCTTGTAAGCAATAAATATTTATGATCAATAGTTAATTGCACAGTATGTGCTTATGTTTAAAGGGGACAGGGGCTCTTCGGCAAGTTGAAAGGAAGGAAAGGTCATGGGAAATTCTGAAACTAACATATCCTCTTAACTGATCAGAATATTAAATGTCTAGTTTGGCAAACATTTATCTGAAAGGGATAAAATCAATTCTTGCTATTTCTTCCTTTCCATCTATATCCTGAAATGGGACAATAGATGAGCTTCATTCTACCCATAGTTACAAATCAGCAGATTGCACTTCAGGAAAGAACTGGTATTATGAGTACTATAAACATAGCTAGATGTTTTTTTTGTTTTTGCTGTTGCTGTTTTTTTTTTTAAATAAAAAGCTTAAGTTAAAGCTTAAGTCAAAGATATGCAGCTTCACATATCCTGACCATTTAACATTACAATAGAAAACATTCAGATTAAAATAACTTACTTGTCATGAACCTCTTTTGCAAAGCCAAAATCTGTAAGTTTGACATGTCCTTCTCTATCTAGGAGAATATTTTCTGGCTTGAGATCACGATACACTATGCTATTTTGGTGGAGATAGTCTAGGGCAGAGACTATTTCTGCTCCAAAGAATAACCCTGTGCCATTATTAAACCTTCCTGCTGTACGCAAATATGTGAAAAGTTCTCCACCACAAGCATACTCCAGGAGCATGTACAAGAATGTGTTGTCATGATATGTCCATAATCTGCAGAGAGAAAAAACAAGGTTACTCTGACTGTTCTATTGAGGAAATAAAAGGTAATAAAGGTCCTTGTGAGAATAAAGTAACAGAAAGACAAGATAAGATAAGCTAAGCATATAAACCTTTCTATTTTGTTCCCTGATTGAGTCCCACACATTATTGCAAGTTCACCTCTTGACACAAGCACTAGTGAATTTTTCAAAGACTACAAATTGCACTGTTGGCTTGTGCCATTTTGTTGCCTTTGAAAAAATTATTTATTCTTATTAACACCAAATTGCACTCAAAATCATGTTGTAACTCACTCTTATAAAACAAAATATATTAGATTCAAAACATGTATGGTTAAAAGAGACATACTAAGTTCACAACATGTAAACAAACATAATCCAAGTATACTGTACACCATGACAAAACTTTAAATACCAGTTCCCCTGTATATAAATATATCCAGGCAGGTCAGTGAACTGAACATCTTACCGAAACATAACATATTAGATTCACAATATAAATCCTAACATGTAAATGTTTATGTACAGTACAACATAATAATGAGATTTGGAGGTGAAAAACAAACTATGTTCCCTGATTGAGTGCCACACATTATTGCAAGTTCATCACTTGACACTCTCTTTCAGTAGTAGCTGAGTTGCCTTTACTAACTTAAGTGCCTGTTTTTTTTTCCAAAGGAATTTTTTTCTTGTCATGTGCATGGTACAAAGGATAAATTCAGAGTACCAATGAGGAATCAAACCTCAGACCTTTGGATTCCATGCTTTGATGGTCTATCACTGAGTCACAAAGACCCTTTGGTGAGCCAGGCCTTTAGAGGGTTCACATGTGGCACACATCCCTGATACTGCAAGGATCAGCACTTTTGCTAAGATCAGCTGCAGTTTTTTAATGGTTAACAGGAAAAGGGAGGACTAATGGTTGACAAAATGGAGAAAAACTCATTACAAATCGACCAGGTTCAAGTCTCAGCTGAGTTTTGATCCCCTTAACTCCCAAGAGTGAACAAGAAAGAATTTCTCCTTTCAATATCAATGCAATATCAAGCAGACAAGTGATAAAGGTAAAGAAAAATATCAATTAGGGGATTAGTAGTTGTTCTAATGACTAATTCTCCAGCCTAACATCATAAGAATTGTATGGCAGACAGTTAGGAGAATTACTAATAAGATCTTGAGAATGAAAGGCTTAAAGGAAGAAACTTATGCCCATACAGTATCTCTGTCTCACTCATGAGTATAACTGTGAGTCACAACAAACTGTCCATGTAGGAAAACCTGATAACATTCTGGGAGGCATTCTGCAAATTATTAACATCCCATGCAAAAGCAGGCTCTTACTCACATATAAATTCTGATATCACTGAGAAAAAAAGCACAAGAGTGCATTTATTATTTTTCCCATACCGAGCCAACTTTATGTGTACATAACCATACACATATACTTGAACATGTTTGTAACAAGTAAACCATACCAAAACTCTGTATTTTAGATTCATAATTTGTATTAACATGTCAATACAAAGTGCAATTTGCCAAGATATAACATACAAGGATCACAACATGTATACAAACATTCAAATGCTGTACAAAATACCAAAACATGACATATTACAGAATATATACAAACAAGCTAATATATGGTACACCATCAAATAACGTAATATTGTAGGTTCACCTTATGTTTACTTGCATTATACATGTATAATTTACATCATAATAAGATTCATGAAAAATAATTATGTGTGTCTGATTGGCTGAAAATGTGTGCATTTTTCATGTAACATAAGTGCAAATTACAAATAACAGAAGTGTGCTGCTAAAATTTTTTCCGTATTGACTTTCTGTGATACTTTTTTATGAAAATCATTCACACCTAACAAAATGGTTTCTTGTGCAATTTAATCTAAATAAGCACTTGTGAAATTTTTCAAAGACTACAAATTGCACTCGCCCTACTGGCTTGTGCCATTTTGTTGCATTTGAAAAAATTATTTATTCTTATTAACACCAAATTGCATTCAAAATCATGTTGTAACCCACTCTTATAAAACGAAATATACCAGATTCAAAACATGTATGCCACTTTATTAATAACCAGTCTACCAACCTGGTAAAAAGATGACATACTAAGTTCACAACATGTAAACAAACATAACCCAAGTACACTGTACAACATCACAAAACTTTAAATACCAGCTCCCTTGTACGTAAATATATCCCGGCAGGTCAGTGAACTGAACATCTTACCGAAACATAACATATTAGATTCACAATATAAATCCTAACATGTAAATGTTTATGTACAGTACAACTTAACAATGAGATTTTGAGGTGAAAAACAAACTTAATAACCAATAAGAAGGAGGTGTGGTTTGTGTTAGCTTCTTAATGTGAAGTGCATTTAATTGGATTTATGGTTATTCAACCAAATCTGAACACCCAAATTTGGCAGGAAATTGTATAACACCAACTAAAGCTCAGAGAAACATTCCAATTTAAGAGTTTAGTAGACATCAGCATACCATAGCTGCTTTGTACAACTCTGTAGTTAGTAGTGATAGAGTAAAAACAGTGTCATGTGTCACAACTTGAGCTTAACCTTATCCATTCATTTCAATAGTTTAACAGCAAGATATTAAATTTTTTGGAACTAATTTCTCCATTTACTCCTTTTTTTTTTTTTTTTACAAATTAGACTTTTAAATTAAATTCTAAATAAGAAGCAATTGACTTAAGTATGTGGTATGCATCTGGATTTTCATGGGCAATTAAGGTTACAAATCCAGGATGTACTCAGGTCGTATTTAATGAAGACTAGCCACTTAGTTCGACCTCACGAAAATACTTTTAATAAGCGATGCTCTGCTAAAACCATCCTTCAACAACAAAGAGACCACGAACAACTGCTCTTTCTACTCCTTCCCAAGGATAAGTCCAAAAGATTATTAAATGCATGTTTGTTTTGCTGACTTAATAGTGCTTTAAAGAAAAAATAGCCCTTAACAAAAACAAGAGAATTTGGGTTGAATTTAAAATTTGCAAATTCATATGCATACACATTCAAAATGAATACAAGTTTTTTCCTTCCACTGAAATTTCAGAGGCACTGCATCATGTCGACTTCAACTCTCTTTACATTTTTATGCTTGTTCTCAGGTCGACCGCCACTTTGTGATCGAAAGCTCAATTCACTTGCTCATGATCGAACGTTCGATTCACTTGACTGTGACGAATACGTGACGAACGAGACAAAACCATGTCAATCCCATTCCTTTGTAAAACTTCCCGTAAGACACGACTCTTACAACGGCGCACTAGACACGTAATACGATAGAATTTCAACGACATAGGTAACAATCTGAACATTGTTAAACAATCAAAGACCAGCATTAACATTAATATGCAAACCAATTAGCCTATGGAATTCAGTTTCACGTGGTGGAAAGAGTAAAATGGCTTCCTACTTAGAGACCCGTTAAGAGATCATGATCACTTCGATACTCAAGGGGAGCGACGTCGTGTAAGATACTTCTTCACTCTATCATTGGATGAACTGGCTTAATTCTCATTATATATACACAAAGCTAACATTGACGACATTTAAGTATCTGTACACAGACTTTTTAAGAACGAATCGAAGAAGCTTACTTTCGAACGTAGCCTTGTATACATAACCCCACAGGTTCCGCGCGGAGCGAACCTCGCACGGATATTCTTTACAAATGAGCAGCAGAGCGCTGATTTTAAATGCGAAGCTTCGAAAAGGAAAAATTCCGGGAAACATTTCAGGGCCGTTTTTTTGTAAAGCGCAGCGCGAGAAAACTCCTTCATAGGTATGTAATGAAGTTTGCTCATGCTCTAAGTGTTTACAAGTCATACTCACAAATTGACGATGAATGGGTGCTCGATCTTCGACAAAATATTCTTCTCGTTTTGGACGTGTTCAACTTGTTTAAGTCTGATCACTTCTCGTATATTCATTATCTTTAAGGCATGATACTCGCCAGACCTTCGGTCTCGGCAAAGTAACACTCTTCCAAACGTCCCCGTTCCTATGCAAGAGAGAGAGACACAGAGAGGGTTTGGCGATTTATTCAGCCTCCATAATGCGAAGCGCTAACGACCTCATTAGAGGAAAGCTATTCTTAGCACTGTAAATAGATCACAAAGATACTTCTTCGCTGCTATGCATCCGTGTCTACTTACCTAAAGTTGTTGACAAGTCGAAGTCGAGCAGAGTCGTTCGTTTGTCTTTCTTCTTGGAAGCATTATTACTGCTTGCCATATTAAATTGCGACGAACGGCGCTAAATGTATTAAATAGACTGATCGTGGACGAAAGAACGCATTGATATCTTCGCACTTTACTCCTCTGATGAAAGTATGTCCCTCATTGCCAAGGAGAAACTGAAATTAAACGCGAACATCTTCGATCGAGAATGTGGAGGTGCGATTGTCGAAGGGCTGGCGGTCCGCCTGTGATGGAATGCTGATAGTCGACAGGGATCGCTCATCCGTGAAGAATCAGGCGAATAAACAAATCAAGCGCGTGTTATTTACTCGCACTGGGTTTGTTTATTGTGCTTGGTTGATTGACAGCTGATGGGTCTAAGTGTCTCTGAACGTTTCCTAAAGAATTGATCAAAAGTTAGCACGAAAGATTCTTTGTGCGATTGAAGAGTTTTCCTAATTGCGCATGTTGTTTTGCAGTTTTGTTTTTAAAAGGGAGAGATTATGATTCAACCAAAATAGCAAAACCACGCTCTCAACGGTAAATTAAACTTACGATTTATCTTTGTGACTGCCCACATACCTCTAAATTAGATAAAATAGATCGTTATCAAACTTCCCCCAGAGACCTCCTTTCTTTTGAGCGGTACCTCAATACAGAGAAGGCAAAAACGCTAAGTGAAATTTAAATTATCGAATGATAATTTGATATAATTCGTTATAAGCGGAAGCTGAACAAAATTTTAGCGCCCGTAATATTCCACGGTTCCGCAACGAAATCGGAAACGACAGGACTAATGCTACTTCCGGTCAGGTAATTACGTCACAAGTACGCGTTTCCGCTAAAGAACCCACGAATTGACGCTCGCATCCTAACAATGTCACGAATTAGTCAAACACAACAACAGCATCGGCCAAAACAACTTCACGTGGAAAAAAGGAGGCGTTTTTAAGACGTCATTCGAAATTGGTTTTTTGAGAGTCAACCGACTTAAAATATAGAGAATCATGCCGATTTATTCGTTGGAAACACAGGTCACAAACTGATGAACCCACAAGGTTTGCGCAGGCTATGTTTGAAGAGCAATCAATGAAATTCCTTGTCTTAAGTTCTCTTTTGAGATGTTCAATCATCAAATACTGACCGATCTTGTTTGGTCACGTTCAAACACTCGAAAATGTCTTCATATAAGTGATTTATCTACAATGAATTTTTGAATGGCATGTTTGTGGTGTAGAGATGTGCTGCGAATGGTGAGAGCAGGAGGTGAAAATTCGGGACAGTGCCTTGGAGTTTTTCAGAGAGACAAAGAGAGACTTATTCGTACATCCCTTTATTATTTTTTTGTGTTCTGTGCCAGTCTATTTTGTTTTGTTTGGTTGTTTCATCCTGTTTGGTATTGATAATTCTCTTTACGGGTTACCCTGTAGTCTTCTTTGTTGTTCCTTTTTTCTTGATCACGACAACAAAGGAAGAGGTATTTGCGTCTTCAAGTTTAATCCCCCACTTTGTTTTCCTAATGGACTATATATAAACGCTAAATAATACGTGGGCTGTACTTGAGCGGAAAAGCCGCAGTTTGGCAAAGTCCTTGTAATTCAGTGATTTATGTCGGCGCGTATTCACTCTTTCGGAAAAATTTGAATTTAACACTTAGTCAGAGTTAGTGCGTGCGGATGAAATTTGCTATTGAGAACTTTGCACTGTGAAAACTTACCTCCGGCGGGAGACAACTTTGTTCTCCAATCAGAACAGAAAGAAAAAATTAATCTGTTCCTATCCTGTGTCTAAATTCCTGTCCTCTGGGTCTTTGCGGTACTACGGACCGATGCCAAGATGGGGTTTACAGTCCCAGACTGGCTCACCAGCTTGGTCGAAGGAAACCTTGAAAGTATCGGCCTAACTAAACATTTTAATGTTTTTCAAGGTAATCAAGCGTGGGTGGAGACGAAAAAATAGAGCTCTCGGGACTCAGGATGCCGTCAACCTCGACAAACCAACCAAAAAACAAACAAACAGACAGAAATGTCTGGTTGAAACGGTGAGTTAGGAAAAAAAAACCACTTATGAAAATTTCTGGAAAGAAAGAACAACGAATTTTCGAATCTGTATCAACGAGTGGTTTATACAGAATGAGCGTGTCTTCTGTGCATATGTAGCTTTCACCCCATTGTGAGCTTGCTCCACTTGCTCGCCACACTTGCGAATTCGCCCACTGAGGGAAAACAAGTTCGCCCCACCCCAAAATCCATTAACTCTTTTCCTACCCTGAAACCCATTCCTTTTATGTCGACATCATAACATGCTGAAGCGCGCTAAAACGGCTCTGAAATGCTAGGCCCAACGATGTACCAGTGCAACTACACACCCTCATAACGTCGGCCAGAAATTCACGACATTCACATCGTATCAAGGCATCTTACTTAAAAATTTATTTCCGTAAATACTGATAATTTGTTGCGCTGAAACATGACATCATTTCTCTCAGATTTGTCATATATTACTGCGCTCAAATTATTACAAATCCATTGCAGACAAGATATATCACTTAGAGAGAAAAACCCCCTCAAATATATAGTAAATATCATAAAGAGCTGGGATGCTGTAAATAAGCTTTTACAGAGCAAAGACAAATATTTTACATCTTATTATGTACACTTGGTTCATAAATAAAATTCGATTTGACAAAAAAGATCCAGCTTTGGAAAGTTTCAGGGGAGGGAAAGGATAGTTAATTGAGGTATTTGCGACAGTGTTTTGAGTGGCACAAACAAGGTAACTTCTCGTCTTCGATAGGAAACTTGTAGTCATAAGTCAACTCTTCTCCTCTGGAAATACTGAAAGGAAGAAATTGAATAATCAAATTTAGTCGCGTACAGACGAGAGGACTTAACGTGGTAATGTTCGAAAAATTTGTGGGTAGGAGGCTATGTATCCAGAGTCGGAGTGTAAGCTTGGAAATATTTAAGTGCATGTTGAAAATAATCCAGGATTGCATTAGATTTGCTATACTTTGCTCTGTGATTGGCCTAGAAAACTTACGCCATCATCTCAACCAATCAGAAGAAAAATTAACAGCTTCTTAGTCACTCGCGTTTTCCCGCGCTTCCGGCAGTTCACTTGCTATCATACTTCGCTCTCACTGGCAGTCAAAATTACTTCAGTTGGGATTTTACCACGAGATATGCTCTTCAAATCAAAATACAATTACAAGATACTGTTTCAAAGCGAATTAGCGTAAGTAAACAGACCTCTTACTAATTTTAGCTTTCTCCGCCTGATAGAGGAAAAGCGATAACAAACTAAACGTGTGTCAGCCAACAATACCGATAACATAACCCTTGGAAAAAAATTCAACCTGACTAAACAACTTTTTTTTATACATACCTTCTGGAAGCAAAGATAATAATTTTCTTTTGACCGTCCACAGTGATGACTCGAGAAAAGCAGTTTGACTAAAGTGTAAAGGAAACACATTACTTAATAAACATCGGGGAAAGTTTGTTCATTATATTGTATTTTCTCTTATATTATCGTTCAAAGTGAGAGCGAGATAGAAAGCGCGGTGATTTATACGTAGCTTGGCTTAAAAATTCAAATAACACTAGAGAAGTAGATCCTTGTTCACCTTTTACAACATCGAGTCAAGCAACTGGTCATACATATGGTTGAATAAGCGTTTCTACATCATTCCTGAGCAATCAAAAGATACATTCTACACGCGTAATTGGCAGTACTGAGTACCGCGAAACTCCAGTTATTGCACCCACCCACCCACCGCTTAGAGTCCCCTCCCCCCTCCCACCCTCGAAACTAAACAAACCGGGTGCTTAAAGCCAAAATTTCACAGGTCTTTCAACTTGGGCACTCTTTTGCCTTACCACCTAAAACAACCCTTTGAACGAAAATAGTAAAAACAGAGAATTATATTTACGTCGCAAGAATGATTGATGAAACGAGCTGCGTTTCCGCACATCGTGGCGTCAACGACATATGTCCCGTCGACACGAAACATGTAACACCCGATACCCTGAAAAGATAGAGGTGAAAAAAGCTTTAGATCCTTAAGAAGGAATCAGTCTCTAACCAAAATTATCAAATCATAATCACCACTGTTCCTAGGATACTTCCTCTTTAAACCTTAAACTCCCAAGAGTGATCAAGACAGAATATCTCCTTACAACATCATTACTGTAAAATGTAGTCCAGTGACGAGAATTAAGAAAATGTTCATTAGGGGATGGTTGGTCGATCTAATAACAACTTCTCTGAACTGAAAGCATAGGAATTGTTTGACAGACAGTAAGTTGACAGACTGTAAGTATTAATTACCCATAAGATAAGATTAGCCATAAGATCTGGGAGTGAAATGGTCAATTATAACTAACCGCGCAGATGGTAATGTTAAGAACGTAACTGATGTCAGGTAAATATGATTACCTACCTTGCTTTCGTAATACTTCTCTCTCTTGTCAGTGAGAACAGAACGAACCAGCATTCCAGAATACTCAATCACCATTTCACCAGCGGCGATATTACGGGTGCAGAATAATCCGCGACCATGAATTGGGGACCTTAGGTTCAAGCGAAAAAATACTTAAAGCGAAAAATATGAATAGAGTTGGCAGAGTTAAATAACGAAATGCCACGTCACAGGTATGCTGTCAATAACGCGGGCTCAAACGCACGCGGTTTAAAATTCAGCGAACTTCGCGAAAAAAAGAAAAGGGGCCGGCATTCAAAACGGAGGCATTTTGCTGTCGTTGAAGGCATTTCACTATTTCCAATGTTTTTAAGGAAAAAAAATCAATGTTTGAAAATATTTAGGGGGTTTACAAAGTTTTTGGAGGTTATTATGTAAAAGAAATGCGGCAGGGGAAACAACGCCTCGAAGCAACAGAATGGAAATTCAAACATGCAAACGATTCAACATCCGTTTTCCGCGCTTAAGGCTACCGCATGCGCAGACCTATTCAGCTCTGAAAAAGAAACTTTGAGTGACATGTGGTCGGGCAGCTCAGCCAGCGGTAGCTACCATTCGATTATCACAATTTTTAAGAGATGCACACGTACCTGTAAACAGCAACAGCGTCTTTGTTAAAGGAACACTGTTTGAGGTGGCGGTACCTCATGGCCATAGGTAGATCCAAACATGTCGGGCGCCTGTAAAATAATAGTTGAAATGAACTTTAAGTAAGTTAATAATAAAAAAATCAATAATTTACTTAAGGATTCGGTCCCATTGCCAGGATCATTACACTATGCGAGGTGGTTCTTTCTTTCCCTTTTGCATATGAAAGCCTAGTAAGTGACCATCGCAATGGGAACTGGCGAGCAATACTCTCATCTGTTTGTGCTGGTATATACAGAAGTCCAAATTCAGTTCTTCTAATTTTCGTTACAAAACCTAGTATAAGATGATTTAGTTTAAATCCCCAAGAAAGAGGTTTTGTTTAGCGTCCATAGAGTTCTAACGTACTTCACGGACAGAGGTCCATCACGCGCTTGTTCAGCGCTCTCCTGTTCCTCCGCACTTTCTTCTAATTGTGGAGCGACGCGGTGACTCGACGCTAAGAACGCGAACATATCATACTTTTTGTTTCTGTTGAAAAAAAGGAGAAACAAAATCAATGAAAGTGATCACTGCTGTCTCTATTACCAGAACGTAAAAGGTCCTTAGCATGTCGATATTACAGATATGTACGAGTCGCTTTCAACAAGTATAAACTCATTTGACTTGATAGTATAAATTATCCATTTATCCAAAAAAAGAGTTTTTAGGTTTCCAAACCTGTGGAACATTTCAGCTCTTGCACAGCCGTGTGGATTCTCTTTCAAAGCCTGTGGGAGAGTTGAGTTTAAGAGGTAAGGAAAAAATTCTTCTTCTAGTGAACCCTTTAACTCCCAAGATCTAACTGTTAATTCTCCTTTGTAGCAACTATACATTTCCTCGTAAAGTGGTCACGAGAACTTGGTGTTGATCAAGATAATCACTTTAACCCGATAAGTTTGTGTATTCTCATTACCTGTTTGCTGGATAATGTAGGATATTACAGGGAGAAGTTACAAGTTAATCACTTCTGGGAGCTTAAGGGTTAAAAGAAAGTGCGCTTGTTTTAACAGACTTTGACATATCGCAATTTCCTTTGAAGTACTCAAGACTTATCCTTTTGCACCATTCTGAAGTATTTGATTGTAACATTACTTGAGCTTACGATACGTTAAAAAATTTAGCCTTGAAATCGAACCGGTAATTGACTTCCCATTACGGTCTTCCATTAAGGCCATATGCACAACAGGTTAGATAAATTGAGCTAAGTGTTTTCACGAAGCGAACGTAACAAACGTTTTGCATTCACACTTGTTCACACAGAAAACATTTTGCGCTCACACCGCGCCCGATCAGTTTGAAATGCACCATTCACCAGCGATGAAACCGCCGAACAGCTGGATTGCATTACCCAGCCGTATCAATAAAGTGGCCTTTTCAAATTTCTCCGCTTTAGTGTGGACGTAGCCTTATGCATCTTTGCAGATTTTACCTGTGTTTCTTCCAAATTGCTATTATCAAATGGTGGATTATATTTGAAGGAATACTGCTTCAGTTGATGGGCTCCAGGTAGCTGCTCTAACATAGACACGACAGATTCCTGAGGGGATTAAGGATAAAAAATTAAAGATTTACCATCATTCTTCCCCCCCCCAACATTTACGACAATGCTGATCCTAGCAGTATACAAGACACCTGGCACGTGAGCCAGGGAATTCTACGTTCTGATTGGCCAGATGGAGTTACAGTTTGCAATAACCTCTCATGTACCTGCGAAAATGAGGAATATCCTGAAGCCGTAGAAAAAGGGCAAAAAAGAACAAATGAACTGTAACAAAACTTTCTCAGGTATGGGTTACCAACTCACCTGACGAACACCAAACATTGCTTTGCCATTGACACCTGAAGAACCAAATCAAATACATCAGTTGCTTCGTTTATTGCATGAAAACGTAGGATCGCAAAAAGGATAACGAAAATCAGGCAGCACAGATGATAATGAATATGAAAAGGGCAGTTGACAGAACCTGCAAACGGAACCAGTTTCATGCGACGATCTATCCTGGCTTCCTGAACCTTTTCAAAGACTTGCTTCCAAGCAGCTAGAAACATAAAAAAAAAAAACAAAACAAAACAAAACAAAACAAAAGTAAACGAAAAAGCTCATCAGAAAAATGGTGAATATCAGAAGGAACGTTATTTTCAAATTAATTGACAGGGCACGAAATAACGGCCGGTTAACGGACACCAGTGTCCGAAATCAAGCACTACTATTCAATATCAGAAATTGGTGTCTAAAAACGGCCGCCAGTGCCTAAAATCGGACACTATCGTCTAGAATCGGAAACTAGTGTCTAAAATCGGATATTAATGTCCAAAATCAGACACTTGCATCACAAAATCAGACGGTTGTGTCCAAAATTGTACACTAGTGCCCCAAATCGGACACAAGGGTCCAAAGTAAGACTCTATTGTCCAAAGGAGGAGTATCAAGTACGCTAGTGCCAAGCAATGTTGACAGAAATATCAACAACTAAACATACTTTCACATGTATTCGCCTCGACCTTCACTCCTTCATCACTTGTGATTTCAAAAGACACATGAGGTTGCTCGGATTGTGCAGCATTTTCTCTCTCCCGAAGCTTCACTAACCAAGACTTGGGAGATATTTCTTTTATAGGCGAATTTAATAGCTCTTCATCTCCTGCCTTAGCTACTACTTCGTGATCGCAGTTTATCTGCCTGACTGTTTGAGGAATCGACTCCTCAAAACTCATCGTCCTTTTCGCGGCTGGCGGTGTCTTTCTACATCTCTGAGGCGCGGCTTTCTGCGCAGGAGCACTTGGTAAGACGGGTGACGGAGATTTTTCCACACGAACAGGATTAAGAATGGATGGTAAATGGCTTGTTTGTCGATTTAAATGCTCGAGGAGTTTCCTTGGAGAATTCGTTGGTGAAGAAGGCAAAGGTTTTTGAGGAGCTGGTAGAATTCTTCTTAGCTTGGACAGGTGTGTTGTTTCATTAAACAGAACTCCCGGAAAAACAGAGTGATTCACAATCCCGGGTCCTGGATGAGGTGCTATTCTTTTCAGTTTCTTTCCATAAGAACTATTTAAGTAGTCGGTCGTTTTGTTATTTTGTCGAGGTTGTGTTGAGTTTTTGATATCTCCGTGAGATCCAGACGTGATTTTTGGCGTTTTGTCTTTCTTGTTTAATTCTTCGTGAGAAATAACTTTGTGTAAGTGTTCCTGATCTATCGACTCCTTAATTTCCTGTTGCCTTCTTTGCATTGATTCAAGTGTTTTCTCTTTCGTTGTGCAGTAATAACGGCATCTTTTAGTTGGATCCTTAACACTCCAGTACAACCGACTGATTCTACGTGAAAGATGAAAAGCAAAGTCAATATAAAAACAAAGAAACAAACATGGACCCAAGACATGATTGCCAAAGTCATACGTTTTTGAAATTCACTAACTTTTCAAAAACAAGCGTAAAATTTCCCTGACCAACTGCGTTAACAATTTCACAAACGAGTCCTGGTGATGACCTCCAAAGTTGAACCTCCCCTCACAGCCATCCTGTCCACCCACAAAGTGATGTCTTCCGCAAGCGTCACCATCTTTCATCACGACAGGCTGAACCACTCCATATTTTATTTGACATTTCACTTTTCCCTGCCCTTCTATTCTAAGACGTAAATTTTCCCTGACTCAAAATGAAATTCCAGGACTTTTCCCTGACCTTGAAGAAATTTATTTTTCCTGGTCTACAGCAACCATGCAAGATGGAAAGATCCTGAATTGAAGACCGCTTGGGTCATTTTTTCGTGCTCTGAAACAAAATACTTCTATTTCACAGTGCTTCTCTCCAACTTGGAGTATGTTTGGATATTAGCGAACCATAAGAGAAAACTAAGGGAAGGTTTGTGAAGAAAAAGCAACCCATGAATGAAACCATTCGAATCACTTCAAGCTACGGTAAAATTGTGATACATGACTTACAACTTGAGTTGGAAGGAGAGCGTAAAGGAGGCTACAGTACAGTGATAAGATTATACTACGTACCTGAAATTAATGGGATACAGAGTTTGTTTGGTGTCGGAATGTTCACTCAGTTTGCCCATGTCTTCCAGAGTAAGAGATCCTAAAAGAAAATCAAAAGTATTAAGAATCTAATATTTAAACGATTCATTTCCCTAAGCTGGCTTTTAATTGAATCTTCAAAATCTTGTAATTCCACATCTTAATCTCGTTTTATGTAAGCACGTTACCTTGTACAAGGGTGATGTTGTGAGGTTCAAATCCTCTGGACAATTTCTTTGTGGCTCGGATTTTGCCCATGTCCACACAAACTCGTCGTTCCACACAAAAGTCGTCATTTACCATCACCAACTGACAACAGGAATTATTATCACATTTAGTAAAATAAGGTATAATTCATCAGTTTACTCCATAAAATGAAATTCGAAAGTAATCCGCGCGGGAAATTGGCGTGTAACCGGCCAAGATTGATCCCCTTGCGCATGCCTTACCGGTTTAACGCTGTTACTGCTAAGTGATACGTGCTTTGGGAGTAAAAAAAACGACTAACCTCCTTTTTGGTCCTGAAGGAATGTTGGGCACAGTACACCTTCTTGTCGTCTTGGAACTCGGCTTTAGCATTTCGTGCGCACATAAAATGATAATTCATTGGACAGCGAGGTTCACAACAGCCCACAGTGGCTCCAACCTCACCGCAGTGTTCACATTTCTACATAGGAAGATAAATCGATTGTTGGGGATAAGAATACGGCAAGAACGTGACCGACAAAGTTTGTAAAATCGCGATAGTAAAGGAAAAAGGAAAAAGGAAAAAGGAAAAAAAAAGTCCTTGTAAAAATCACAACAGTTTAATATGAACTCAAATATGCTGGAATCACTTTCTAGGAGTAAGTTAATTCATTTATTTCAAATTCACTTAACCACTACTGGAGGAAAACATTTTCTACCAAAACTCAGCGGTTAAGCTCCAACAAATCCCGTTTTCTATCAAGCCTCAATTAATTCGACTTCTTCAGTCACACTTGACCTGTTAACATTAAGTCGTGACTTTGATAAATTTGCAATTACTTAGAAGATAATGTGTAAACCAAATGAATGAAAAAACACGGCAAATACCATTTGTTTTCCACGTGATATCGCCACTTGAACATTCTGTAAGCGACCCTCGTCATCTTCAAATACTTCCGCTGACCACAGACCACAATTGACATGCACCCATTCATCCAAACCACTAGTGAGAAGCCGGCCTGCCTTGGAAGGTTCGGCATCACGCATCGAACCACACAGAAGACACTTTCTGGTATCCTCCTGAAAAAATTATCATACGCAAATTGAATTTTCCCTTTTCTCCAACACTTCGGTTTCGGGGCCGAGTCCTTCAAAGTTAACTTAAACCATCCCGAGGAACGGGTCTTAATGAAATTTAAGTCTGCATACTAAGGTGACTCGCACGTCGTAGAACTGTTAGATGCTAACACAGTCTCTACAGCATGAGGCGCTCAGAAGTTCTTTCTTACCCCATGGATGGATGCAAGTCCCCCGCCAGTCCTACACCGACCCGCCCTACTCCCCCTCCCACTCCTCCAGCATTTCGTCAGGCTTCCCTGACAAAGCACTAGTATTCAGTTAAACCCCTGGGGAGGAGGCAGGGGGTGGGGCACTGTAAGAGTCAAGTTCCCCTCCCAAGAATCCCTGAACAGAATGACCTGGCTGGTGCTCGAAGCCGGAATTTTCAAGCCAAATTCCAGCGCGCTTACCACTTGGACACCACACCTCCATTCTAGCATCTTACACAAAAACCATACAATGAGTTATACCCTACCACGTCAGTTGCTTGCTGTGGTTGTTGGTGTTGTTTCAGTTGCAGGAATTGTTTTAGTTGTTGCTGTTCATCGTCATTGGTATCAATTTCCATAGGCTCCTCGTTCGTGACGTTTTCTTCCTGCAGATCGTTTTCCGTGTCTGGTTCCATCTTTTCAACTTCACCTACAAATTAACGACAGACAAATTCAGACAACTCCATCTTCAACGATGATATTAAGCAATGGACATTCCACGAGGTGACTCCCCTTGTCCACTGTATTCAGGCCGAATTGGAATTTTGCACGTTGGTTTTTGTGAAGGGAGGGAAACCGGAGGAAAACTCTTTGGAGGGAAATAGGAGGAAAACTCTCTGAGTAGGGAAGAAAACCAACGACTCAAACTCAAGCAAGGTATGGCACATGTGACGCCGTGTATGGGAATCGAACCCAGGCCACAGCGGCGAGAGGCGAGCGCTCTAACCACTACGTCATACCTGCTCTCTGATTATTCTACGCTCGAGATCTAATTGTGGTAATTCTCTGTTTTAGGTTCCACAAATTTTCTTGTATATAAGTTCACAAATCGGTGTTTCTGTATATCATGATAAAACCTTGTAAATAAAAAAGACAGCCGCTCTTTCATGATTTGATTTGTTCGAGGTCACATTGAAATTGTGAGAATGTGTTGAATTATCATCACCTTTGATGATTTAAGGGCTAAATAAAAATAAAATATCCAATCAATGTTTCACCGGTATTTCCCCATCTAATTCGTTTACAACAGATGGCAGATAGTAATATCTAAAAGTTTTCAACCGCATATACTGTTTCCAGCCTCCTAAGAGAGCAATGAGTTTTTTCAAGACTTACAATTTTCGTTCTGTGATGAGTTCATCTGTGGAGCCTCTGAAGAAGAAGGCTGAGATTTTCCAACAAGAGTGGAATCAGACTTTTCTTGGTTACTTTTCAAGGAAACGTATGAGTGATCCCAGACTTCGTAAGGAATAGCAGTTCCAATGATTCCACTGCAATAAAGGTGTAAAACGATCGGTTGGGATTCACTAAGACTGTCGATCAAAATACAGAGCCCCTGTCCATAGAGTGCCGTCATACCAAACCCAAAGCAGTTTTCATCGACCAATCAGAACAAAAGGAAATATCAGAAAAAGTAAACGACAGCTCAAACTAACGACACGTGACCCAGTGGCAAGTGGTTTCAGCTCTATATTTCAAAATTTGATTGGTTGAAAAAGTGACGTAGAATTTCTAGACCAATGATTAAACATATCGAAAGGTAACCCAAGGAATCCCAGCAATGCAGTCAAGGGACGGTAATGAAACATTGGAAGGGGGTCACCCTGCCCAAAACTACCATTCTATCCAGGCAGGGGGGGTCTCTTTGTGCTCCTGAAACCGAGAAAAGCTGCGGTGCGATGGGCCGTTTGCCTCATGAACATACTATTGTTTTAGCCATCAGAATTAACCATTAAGTTCCCTTGAAAAAATGCGTTATTTTAAAAGCTTACTTTTTAAGGCGTGGTTGTGCGATCTCCTCATGTTCCTCGGAATTCACTGTACTTTTAAGCTTGTGCCAAGGAAACATTGCCACTAGTTCCTACAAAATGAAAAGGAAATGGTGTTTTGATTCTGTAGATTCTGCATGGTTTGCAGCTTCATGCCCAAGTCCTACTCCACAAACCCATTCTAAGTATCAAAATGTACGGTGCCTCCCCTCCAATGTATATACTTTTACTTTATACCTTTTAAAACGACTGAGAGCAGCAAAGAAATATTGGAATTGCAAAACAGGTTGTAAGTCACAAAACATTGATACCTAAATATATTTTTTAATTTGAAATGCTGCTATTCCTAACAGATTGCCATTTCGACCTGAATGCCGTGTTTAATTTATTGTGCCGAAAAGGCTTACATGGGGGGAGGGGGGGAAAGAATCACGGGTACCCCAG